CCCCCTCCTCTGGCCAGAAGGTTCAGAGGTATTACTTCCCTCCAAGTTGCTATTGAGCAAGGTGCTAAACTAGATTATCCTCTTTAAAGCATTATCCTAGTGAATACTATTCCCTTTAAAGATTCTACTGAGAAAGGTGTCAAACTAGATTTTCCACTTCAAAGCATTATCTTAGTTTAGAACGAAACTAAAACTGCAGATTCTTGTAGATTTAGCTACAGTTATTAAAAATTGGAAATTTTAGAACCATGCTAGTCAGATAAGCCCTTAACATTGCTGATATGTAAACTTCAAAGTTAATTTCTTGATTGCCTTCTAAACTAAGATAAAAACAAACTAACCACTACTGTCATTACTATCAATGAAACAATATTCCATAACTAGTTGTTTCACTTGTCTGAGGCAAAGCCTATTCCTACCTTCTCTCTCTTCCAACACCAAACCCAGAAAACAGCTAGCTGCCTTTAACCTCCAACCCCATTCAATTGCATAAAATAAATAATAATGAAAAGTATCCCAAAATAAAAATCTGAAATTCATAAAGAATCCAATCCCTCAAAAACCCCAAATCAGCGGAAACATACCTAAATTAAACCAAGTTTCTATTCCCAAACACCAATCACCAATCACATTCAATATCCAAAAGAAAAAACAAAAATCTAGCCGGAGAAAGTCGAGAAACAATCCACAGAAATCAAATTTGATCAATGCATCACGAGGAATTCACGATCAAGCCAACAAAATATACAAACATGCCTACATGTCTACATAGCTCGTCCATTCGAAACATATACATTCAAGATGCGACCAAGAAAGTGAGGAGGAGGAGGAGCAAGAAGATGCAGAGCAAGCTTACTCTTTGGTAACAGCGAGGACGTTATCAACGGCTCGCTGCATCGCTCGGACGAATACGATCCCTCAACTCTTTGGTGAGGGAAAAGATCAAAATCAGAAACCGGAGTTCAACCTTTAGGGCGTCGGAGCTTCCCTCCGACTCGGCCTCAGAATTTTAGAGGACATACGAATGCGAGCAATGCGGAGTGCAACGGCCAGAGGAAGACGGTTATATTCAGGTGATTTTTTTATGTTCGCTCTCGGGTACCCTGTCGGAAAAGCGACACGTGGGATTATGCTATTGGTTATGTTTGAGATCTGTGTCTTTTTGTGGATAAGGATGAGTACACGTAAGTATAGAGTTGGATGTGGACCGTTGATGCTTGGTCGGCACGGTTTGAGGTGAACGGCTGAGATGGGGTTGGATTGGAATAGTGGATAATCGTCGGCCCCACCACTAGTGTGGCACGTGGGAAATATTTTTTGTGCGCAAATGTGAAAAAAAAAAACGTTTGATATAGTGCCGGGGGCGCCACGGACCTTATGTTGGACTTTGAAATTAATTTATTTTTAAATAATTTTAAGGATGTAGTTTATATTATTGTATTTAAAAAATTAATTTTTTAAATAATAATTTTAAAACTTAAATTTTAAACTTGAATTATAATATGATATTTACTTATTAATAAGTTTAATTTTTAAGGTTCTTAACTCATGTGATAAATTTTTTTTATTATTCAAATTATAAAATAAAAAACTCAAAAAAAAAAATATTTTACATGTTTTTTAATTTTAATGCCAAATGTAAGAACAAGTATGACATATTATATCCTATAGCAACCATAACATTGTTTAGAATATTTTTTTTTTTTATCTTATACCATGGAAGCTAATCATTTTCTATTTTTTATCCTATCCAACTCACATATCATTAGGGATGTTAACGGAATCTCGCGAGACTAGGGAGTCCCTCTCTATCCTCATCCCTGTTGATGGCGGGGGGGAGAATCCTCCATCAATTAGTATTAAAATATAAATTTTTTATATATAATTAATTAATATTTAATTATAATAAATAAAATTTTAAAATTTCAAATACAATTAACTAAATCAACATCCAGCACTTGGTGGCCCAATGGCCACCCCCATGCGGGACGTGCTTAGGATTAAAAGAACTTGGGATCAATCCCAAGTCTCCCTCCCCCCTTCTCCAAAAAAATTCCATACTGGTCAAAAAAAAAAAAAAAAAACTAAATCAACAAACCTGATGATTGATTGGGTTGGATAAAATTGGGTTAAATTTAATTTTTATTGGATTGGATTTGGATTTAAAGATTGAATTAAATTTAAAATAAAATTTATTTACATATTTTTGTAATTTTTGCAGGGATAGAGATCCCCGTGAGACC